TAGATAACATGACATTTTACTACGTTGAACATAAGCCATATACAGTATTTTCAATGTACCGGTACTACTCAGTTAATCCCTGTTGATCTATTCGCGATGCAGAGACATTTTACTACGTTGTACATAAGCCATATACAGTATTTTCAATGTACCACGCAGTACACAACGTTTCGGACCTTCGGACCATAAGATGAGATGGAATAGAAACTTTCAGCCATGTTGAAAATGAAGCAATCATAACCTACCTGGCTATGCTCAGAAACCATCATTGAATAATCACTGTATATGAAGAGAGCACCAATTTAATTGAGAAATTTATATTTACGTAAAGTATTAAGTATGGATAAGCGATATTCGGAGCTAGCAGACCCCCTCGTCATATAAACTACATGTTCGTTGCATGCTTTAACGGTGGGAAATTACTTATGAATCGAATACACTTTTCATAATAATTATTGCTTAATTTATTAAGAAATTGGACACTCCAACGCCGAGAACAAAGGAAAAGAGAAGCAGCTTGATAATGGAGAGACTGAAGATGTGTTTGAGGTGAAAGTGACAGTGACGGCAATGATTGTGATGACGATGAAAACTATGAACAAATGTTTACTACAAATCTGAGCAATGTGGAATTAAATGAGCAAATAGCTACAACCTTAGAATTGATTGTTCAATGGGAATGACAGAGAGACAGGTCGTCCAACCTATTGCTATCATCTTCATATGGTACTATTCTAGATAATAATTATGATCAAATGGAATATGCTTTGAAAATAATTGGAATTGATGTTGAATATAAGGACTATAACATGTCTACTGATATTGAATTGAAACTGCATCTTAAAACATATATATTAGCATGGCAGGCAACTTATTAACATGCAAAAGTGGTTCCATGGAGCTTTGTATGTAAATCAATGATATTCATCAACATTATATCAATATATTAGAAGATGACTTCAGATTAAAAACGACATGGGCTGGTTTGGAGGAAAGTAAAGTTCAAAATTACAACAATAATTTCTTATTTATCATTATGCATCTTATTATACTCTAACACAATGGATGTTAGTAAGACTGCTTGGCTTGAAACTATAAGCCAGCTGAAGGCTCCATTTGCTGCATCTGTTGAGACTTTATCTGATATGGCTGATATTATGACAACTATAGAAACCCAATTGATAACAGAACCACTAAAAGAATTTATAACAACATTCAGAGGCTTTACAAGCAAAATTTTCTGTGGGACATTGGTACAAGGAATGGAGATATTTATACAGCATGTATCAAGCATTTGTTGAATGGTCAGCTGCTCCAATTCATAAGAATTTAATTGCCAAAGTATTACAAGCATTGATTTAGCTAGCAGATACTGAATGGGAAGAAGCGATAGGAAGAAACCAGCTTTTACTTATAGAGAATGATTGTTCGAATTCAATGTTATGCCATTCAGACTAACCAATGCGCCAGCAACTTTTCAACGATAAAGCCTCTTACTCTGAAAAAATTGGAAAAACTGATGCCGGAAATATCTAGATGGAACCGTTGGTTACGGGTCCCGTCTGTGCAAACATCGTGTGGTAGAGATAAAGCCTGACTGGCCTACACGACACGGCCTTTTATTTCAACCTGACTTGTTGTTTTTGTTATTCGAAAGTATGTATGCTAATAGGCTGGGTTGTCGGTATGTGCTGCCTAAAGGAAGTTATAACCGTCTGGCACCAATTGCCATAAAGTTGGGTGAACTCGCCCATAACCCTTGGGTTTTGGACCGGCTGGCCGTTGTGGATTGGATTAAAGTGTTAGGATAGTTCTGGGACCTTGTCCCCCCATCCTTTCATCCACTGCGGTTTAACAGGCATCGCAAATTACTCTTTTTCGCCAATTAGTCTATTGGTGATACTGCATAGTATTTATATACGATGATTGCACTAATAGGTTAGACTTAGCATACATTTATTAGAATAACAAAAAGATTAAAGGGGTAAGAAATTTAAGTGTAATAGTTTGCTTACGTAATGGCCAAATTGCTGGAACAACTCAGTTGCCAATAGTACCGCTCTAGGGGGGAAACCCGTTAGTTGCACCTGGTTTGCTAGCCAGGGTATGGTTAGAATCTATTGGAGCGTGAGAAGCGTGCCTCAGCAACCCTTGACTAGATTTTGGGCTCTGGAAGGGGTATGATTATCATAGCTGGAAACGGCGAAGAGTTAACTAGCAGCCAAGCTCCGTAAGACCCGCCCATGATGGGGCAGCAATGAAGAAGGATTTGGAAACTTTTTCCCTTTATTGTGGAGACATGGAGAAGGTTCACAGACTGTAAGGTCATCAGTGTTGTTTTCAAGTAGGCAGTGAGGGGGTGAGAAAATCATCTTTTATCCAATAACTGTCTGAAAGAAACCGCTTGCTGAAAAACACAGTCGATGAAAGCAGAAATGTGTGTTGGGGCGGATACCTACATCATTACCTACTGCAATGCGGTGCCTACGGGATGCGTTGAGGAAAGGGAGATTACTTGTTACACGTATAGAGTAATCGACATAGGACGAAAGGTCGCTGACGTGCAGCGATTTCCAACCCCAACTTCGGTCCTTATTATTAGTGGCGGGGGTTCGATTTACCTGGTAGGATTCCAGCTATTTCCATCCTCGAGTCTTTTAAAGGCGATATTTTGGTTCCTCTGTTTAGTATTTGTCACTGCTTTCCATGTTTATGGTTGTAAGTCAAGCATAACGCTATTTATGTATCATTACCACGTGATAAGTGATTAAGACCCAACCTAAGTTTTTATAGTTTCGAGATTTAAGTGACTCTGCTTTATTCTGATGGCAACTAATGGTTATGTTTTCTGATGAATTTGGTGGAGTAAATTGTGAAAAGTAGGTGTCTTTAGAGTTCGTCTATTGTAATGCCATGGTTAATTTGGATACGCCGAGCGGAACGTTAAAGCGCGATACCAGCCTCAATCTTATAGGCGACATGGTGTTCTACTATGTGGACTCCCTATCGGTCTGGATGAGCCGTTAACGCGGAGACCTTCCTTAAATGGTAGACTGTGGTCAAGCATAGTAGTTTAAAAGCACCAGTTCATCGCATAGAGAGGTAGACGGTGGGAGATTGGTAGAGAGCCCTAATCTAAAGGTCCCCTAATATGAAGGAGGTCTGTGGATGTGATTACCACATGATACGAATTCAGGGCTATTTTCTGGGTAATTCTTCACGGAATCTAGTACCGGGTAATACAGGGTGGCGTTAACCAACCCTGGTCTAATTGGAAAAGACGCTCTACTGGTCGACATGTCTGCAAGCTATTGGTCCACAATGGATCTTTGCAATAGAAAATCGAAAAGACAGTGAAAATTACATCATGTATATTTCGGATTGTTTCGTTGACCCAAACTTTTTGGAAACAGGTCAGTCTCATCCCTGATCCTTGATAGGTCAGTGGTTGAGTACTTCTCGGCTTTACCTTTACTTTGAGACTGGCGTGGAATTGCCCACCTTTGCTGTCGACTTCTGGGAGAGCCGGACGTGTAGCCTCGCAAGCTTGCGGACCGGAATGCTTTTAAGTTAAGCCATCAACCAGGTGGTCGAGCTAGAGATGCTCATTTATGACGAAGCACGGAGGAAATGCCCTGCAGAAACTCTGCTTGGTTTCTAAAAAAGTGTATGCTAAGACGATTCAGTCGTGTTATCAGTTGTACTTGTTCTCGAAATGACATCGTATATAGTGAAGTTGTTATGTAGTCGTTACCAATGACTGAGATGCCTTGGAAGTTACCGTTGATCAGTCCACATTATTGAACACGTTAGGGAAAGGCCCGGGAGCTTTGGCGTATTACCGGTGCTGTTGTCACTCTGAGAGACCCATCTACAATTGAAATGTTGAGGATGTAATCGTCCACTCATGAACTTTGTGGGAAGTCCACAACAAGCGTGTTCTTGGTATGTCCCCGGGTAAACTGATCCTCCCTGTGAACCATGGAGAGGCTAGGGAAGCGAGGGGCCTTAACTTGATAACTGGGTAACGCGATCTCAAACTCAGACGCGAGAGGTTCAACGTTTGTTTAAAGAATTGCATGTTGCGCTAATCTCAAGATAAATACAGTAGTAATGCATTCTAGTGTTTTCAATATTGTGTGTCAATACTGTAGGGCTCAACTTGAACGGTTGGGTTTAACGATAGATTACATTAGCTGAGATGATATCAAAGCATTATAACCTCATTATGTTTAGTACTAAATTTCTTTTGCAACTATAGCTTATAAGGCGCAAACTATAAAAATATGGAAAAAGAATAATTAGAGTAAGGTCTACAGGGTTGTTTAAGCAAGAGAAGGCCATTAGGTAAAAACTTGTATTGTCCTGTAGAGGTCGAATCCTTTTGGGGTAATAACCAAAAGGGACCTTACTAATAAATCCCGTTTCCATTGAAGAAATGCGCATGTTATCCACTTCCCAATATGGATAAAGAATTCATTCATAACAACATCACTAAAGCTCTATTACTATGTAAATGTTACAGACGATCGCAATAATTGATAATAAAAGTCATCTTTGGTAAGGGTTATGGGCAACAAAAAGCCATCCCTCGAAGCATCGTTGTCTCAACCTATAATAGGCGATGTCTACAAATATGGCATATTCAAAATAGAAATTGGTTTGCGGACAAAGGTTAAACGCGAACAATGTCTTTAAATGCGTAGGGTTATTGTTCATGTATTTCCGCAAATGGATACCCATCAATTTATTAGTAACCACACGTAATAATGACATACTTTGAGATAGATAAGGACCAGCGTACTTCTAGGCAAGATGAGAAGATGCCATGGTAAAGATGGCTACGTTTGATTGTCATGGTTGTCTATAACCGGTGGAAACACGCTGTAACAGTAAATCTTCTTGGAATGTTTATTAATTCTTCAATTATGAAGTCTCTCGCGTATAAATCTTTCGATCAAGTCGAATAACCTTCTTTGCTCTTCGTTTCATTGCATGCTCTAATCGTAGACTATACAAGAGCAATAGCCAACATTAATACCATTTCATTAGCATAGATTCTTCTTTACTCAATTTCACTTCCCTTTCCCAATAAATACTCACCGTGCACTGTGCCGTATAACAAAGTCCAAAACAACACATACGAAAATAAACTTCCAAATACACCATCTATCCACACGTCCGTTTTACCCTTAAAGTATTTCCCAGGCTGGCCTTTCGTCTTCATTGCCCAGATTATAAAACTTGTAAACAACGAGACCACTCCGTAAAATATGAATCCAGTATACCCGGTTAGCCCGAGGATGCCGGCAGCAGAACCTGCTATGACAGACATGGAGGAGCGAATGAAGGTTATTGTCTTTGTGTTGTGCACTATATGGTCGGGGACATATAATTCGGCTGTGGAAGTGGACATTGTTGGAACGAAAGAAGAGTAATGTTGATGTATGGAGAAGTCATGTGAATTCAGAGAATTTTAACGTAGAACAATTGCCGATCAACTGAGTCATAATAATTTCTTGTTTTAGCATTAACGATGAATAGCGGACGGAGTTTGGAGAGCTGTCTGAGAGTATTTGGTTCTGGGAATGTACCTTTTGGTTGGTATTGATAATCTCTTGGAATGACGGATACGGTTATAAATAAATACGTCATTGTTTCTAACATTTAAATATTGATATCAACGCGATCAGTATTTCAATCCACTCCGATTAATGTCTCCTACGTCAGACAATCCTCCATGCTTCTATCGCTCTATAAAACTAGTTTGTGAGAACACACACAACACGACACAACACGGCACGATTCTCGGTATTATAATCAAACGATATGTTCCTCCTCTTTGAAGCAGATCCACATACGGACCAAACGACTACACATTGGAATGTTCACCGCATTCACGGCTATCTCACTGTCGAGCCAGTGGACTCGCATATTGATCGTTACGGCAATAACAGGAACAGTGCCTTGCTTGGATGGTTGATGGTCTTTGTATTCCTAACATCATTAAGCCTGCTTACGTTATTTCGTCAAGCGAGAATGCTATATACCGAGTGGTCTAACCATGCTGCTGACGAATATCTCGACTGGTTTCGTGAATTTAATCAATTCTGTGATCTTGATGAAGAAAGGAGTAGTGGCGGATTTTCCGGGTAAGGGAATAATGGTATTTGTTAATTTATCCCAAACTCTTTCATCAATCCGTGGGAGACACTTTTCTTTAATAACACATTGTTCCTCATTCATTGACTAGAAACCAGAGAAACTTACGCCGCCGAAATTGGATTTGATGCCACGACATTTGTTATACCCACGTATTTACACGAGTAGTATAAGTGTATTCGTAATTTTCACCACGCGTATGCATAAGAATATAATTCCTCCAAAGTCTTCTCATATGCATACCTCATGTCATTAAAGAAAGAAAAGATACTACACAAACTCCATTGCTTAACTACTCATTGTCATTACTCCCACCATCCTACCTCTTGTTCACCGTCCACCATTATTATCTCTTAAACTTATCCATTACTTAGTATCCAAATTCCAATCGCTCCAATAATTCCAGCAATCACTCTGAGCATTTCTATTCCGCCTCTCCTATCGCTTGCTGCTCCCCCACCGTAAGCTATATTCTGCACTTGACTATACGCCAACAAATTCGGGCTGTTTGTAAACGCCAAATTCTTGATCACATTTCTTGTAGCCAACTGCAAAATTGAATCTTTGATTTCCTGTGGGGATAAGGTAGTATTTGCTTCGTCGGACATGACCAAAGCAGCAATACCAGACACCAAGGGTGTGGAGAATGAAGTGCCAGATTTTGTGTTTACGGCTCCACCGGGGAAGATCGATGGAATCGATACACCGGGTGCAAATATGTCTACACAGGAACCGTAGTTGGAAAAGACTGCTATCTCGTCCCTCATTGTAGTCGCTCCAACGGTTAGGGCGCTGCCGGCACTTGCGGGTGAATCGGAACAGGCATCAACGCCGCGTCCGGTTTGGTCTCCATTGCCAGCTGCTACCTGAATAGAAATAGTACGTGTTAGGATAAGGATGAGAATAAGAGAGAAGCTGTATAGCATTGTCCGCAGAGTACATACTGTCACTAATATCCCTTGATTGACCACTTCACTGATCGCACGGTTTATTATGGGGTCATAGCTTGAACCGACTGAGAGGCTAAGGGAATGATAAAAATGAACTAGTTAGTCAGGATTGTTGATAGCGCACTACAGTACATATCCCTCATTAAATCAACTCTATTGATCCATCGCTTCTCGAATACTACATGCTAATTTGATATCATCACCCTATCCTCTTTTCGTCGTATTATTGACTCTCTTATCCCTAATCACACTGTTACTCAGTCTCAAGCTGCAAACACCTACTTTGCGATACTGTTCCTTGTACGATTTGCCTTATTGTATTGCATGACGACGTATTCCAATCCAGAAAGTACGTCACTCAAATCTCCAAGACCTTCGCTGTCTAATGATTTCACGGCGATCAGATTACACTTCTTGGCAACGCCATACGTTTTTGAACCAACAATGCCAGCAACAAATGTTCCGTGACCATTATTATCATTATTATCTACATTGGCGATTGTGGTAGTACCCCACCTAGCGCGATTTTCAAATTCGGGGTTTGTGATATCAATGCCCCTGCGGATTGAGAGTGGCAAATGGTAAATTCGGGCAGAGAAGGAACAATTAATGAAACAATCCAAGGTTATAAATAAAAAGTCAAGATATAATAAAATGATAGTATCATTGATGAATGTACTCGTAGTGTTTGATAGCAAGGATTCCCACGGGAAAAACTGTACATTCATACTTACGTATCTATGATATACACATCAACACCGCTCCCGGCTGGATCTATGTATGAATATGAACCTGATAATGGCAGACTCCGCCGATTGATTCGATCTAATGCCCAACTGGGTACATTTTCTTGGGTGATTACTTGCGTGTTTGCAAAGTCAGATTGATTCGCACGGCTGTAAAAATGTCGATGATTCGTGTGTTCTCCATACTCTCCATTTACATCATTTGCTAAACGCATTCGTGTATTGTGCCCTACCCAATATCCATCTGACGTTCCGTCAATTGCTGTCGTCCTGAAATCGTTCCCTATTAAATCCGGAAATTGTCCTGGAAGAATGTGGAAGCTGTCACTGAGTGTGATTAGCCTTCCGACGCTATACTTGGATGATAGCTTATTAATCAATTCATCTGACGGTTTGCTTTCGAATATCATTAAATGTTCTGATGAGAGTTTTTCTGCGTTAGTATACGAAAATGTGGCAAATATCAACGATACGAGTATGAATGAGAATAGCTCTATGTGTAGGAACATGCCGATACCTTAAACATTGTAGAGACTGGATGAAAGTCGTGTATTTATGAACGACAAAAGAGTGTGCCGTGTCTGATGACGTATTTATGATATAAATTGTTAGGAAATAGTAAATAGACTAACTAACATGAAGTAACAATCATCTGAATTCAAGTAATGCCACAGCGCCACCACACTCTATAACAAGCTCGTGCATTCTTTACAATGCAATGTACGTTTCACCACGATTTACAGTAGAAATTAAGATAAGGTGAAGTCGTCGGGCTGGACCAAAACTGAGAGTTCATTATAACAAAATATTATAACCCAAACATCATCTTATCGGGGGATCAAGTGATTGTGTAACTAGGCAGTATTGGATTGGCATAACGGATTTCGCTTAGTTCCTTGGAACCAGAGTTTTACTAATTAAATATAGCGGATTTTACTATCAAATTGCCGTAGTGCGGTTCCGGATTTTTTCGATGAACGGGGCTTAATGAGACATTTATCAATATAACGGAATTATATCGGAGTCCGTTATATGGTGCAAACGGCTTAATCTTTTGGGTGAAAAAAGCCAAAATAACCTTCCTTCGGTTGTCCGTGTTTTGATTTTTTTAAGTTTCCTAAGTATCCAGCGCTGAAATTTATGTCGATTATTACCATAATAAAATTGTGTGTTTTTATTGGCCAAAATTCTAACGTTTTCATTGTTGAAGCTGCGACATTTTATGCTATGTAGTGATTAACATTAACAGAATTATGCCAAAATCAAATAAACGCACTAGACAATTTTGAGACGCCATCAACAAACGTTGGAAACGAGCAAAATATTCTGAAGCAATGCCAACACACATTTTTTGGATAGAGGGTGAGGATACGTGCTTTGATAGTGATGAATTTGTAGATAGAATGTAACCAAATATGCTAGAACAACTTGGACTTTCAGGGAAGGCAGCTGTTTTTGCAGTTAAGCGATATTAATCTCATCGTCGAGTTCCCTTTTGGAAGAATTCAGAGACTCATAATAAAGTAGCAGCAGCTAATTATGTTGCAGTTACGTGATTTGTATCTACCAATCGTATATTAGGGCGGCGCTGAAAATCTCGCTGTTGCTATCAAAATTAACATTAAACAAAGTCTAACTGCAACGAAATTTTATAATAAAATGGATGGAGAGAATACGTAACATTACAGACCATATCGAGGGCTATTAAACTACGTATTCTTTTGACGTTTACATGATCTAATGAAATTCCTTTACACTTCAAAGTCGTTGGAAAATGTTGGATGCGACTAAACCGTTTGAATAGTACAGTACCCTGCCAGAAGTGAGTGATCACCACGAAAATTTACTAGTAAAACATATGGAATGTCTTTCTTTTCAAAAATCGCTCCTACTCATTTGTACTGTACGAAGGATGATGTTTTTTGTATGGTTTGGAAGCTAATTGATTGTGCTTTTCGAAAAAATAACAAAAAAAAGTATATATTATCATTATAATCAGTAGCTTGACGAAGTGAAGACAGCTACTTCAACTTGCTACCGCTTTATAAAAATAATTTATAAAAATTTATTGTTAATTTTTTGGAAAGCACAATCAATTAGCTTCCAAACCATACAAAAAGAATTATCCTTCGCATAGTACACATGGGCAGGAGAGATTTTTGAAAAGAAAGACATTCCATAGTAAATTTTCGTGGTGATCACTCACTTCTGGCAGGGTACTATAGATCCGCACTAAAAGTGGTCGAATTCGTAGTAGTAAAATGGCCAAATCCGTTATAATTTGTGGTAGATCCGTACTAAAGTGACCGAGCAATATTAATAGCACAAATTTAATGAAAATCAAGTTGTCAAATATTTTTGCTTCTTTTAATATTACTAACATACAATTTGAACAAATTGAAGAAAGCAATAGTCCTAAAAAACATAATGAAAAAGAAACAAACAAATCTCTTGTTTTTGATTATTGACGAATATACTTTTACTGTGTAACATTAACAAATTTAATAAATATCAGGTAATAAATAAAAACCATTATATCAAACAGTTTCTGAGTTTGCTATATCGAATTTTCAATAAAACGGGTTGTCGCGAGGACGGCTTTCACTGTGTATATAGTCGATACACTTGTGTATGGCAATTTTTATTTGCGTCGTTAAAGCTATGAGCAATAACATGAAAAGAGTAGCGATAGATCTTCCAGAGACATCTGCAGTGGAATGAACTTATTGTTTTAGTTCTTACGGGGTATCAGAAATTTTCTTCGATCGGAAGATCTCGAGCAGGCGTGGGATCTGCTTTTATCGCATCTCCAGGATTCTTGTCTGCAAGGTTTTAAATACCATTATCTAAAGTCTAGATAAAGGCGATCACGGTACGGTGAAGAGTTGAGGAAGAAAGCTTGCCGAATTGGTTTGGGTATAACAATGAACAATGGTGCTGAAATTGACGCATCAAACTCATTACCAGTTTCATAACCTTAGATAATTGGTTCTCAATATTTACTTTGTAATAAATAATGTGCTCTATATTTTCTTACATATTTAAATGATTTCTCCAAGTAAAAACAACTAGTAGTAAACGTGCATGATTTTATTTCGGAACTTAATCATATGTCGTATTTAATTGGAAAAGGAGTAAACCCCTTGAATTAAACTCGTATAAACTGTGCGAATTCAAAAAAGACTTCGAGTCTCTAAATTATAAGAAGTGGACAGCGTTAATATTATAAATTGACTTCATTTGTATCAACATGTAACTGCATACCTGCGGCTGAATCCAAATCATAACTATTTCTTGGTTTAGGTAATTCTCCTGTAGGTAAGAGCTTACTAGAGTATTTACTTTCCTTTTTGAGACATGATAAAGGTTTTACATCATTATGATAAACGGCATTCCACGTGTTGTCATCAGAATCACAACAAGCTCGTAAATATTACCCCAAAGTGTCTCTGTATCTGGACGCTTATCAGGATCAGCATCACAACACCGCTCGGCAAGTTTCTTGTACAGAGAAAACCCTCTAAGTGCACACCCTCTAAATGCACACCCTCCCTAAATGCACGGTTTGGCACGGTCCCGAG